TGGTGATTGCTGTGACTGAAGATGTTATGTACCTTTTTCTAAGGTTTAATAAATCCTAACCCATTTTATAATATAAATAATGTTATGAATATTTCTAAATATCTTTAATAATTTTGGTAATAACCAAACACGCCCCTACCAAATCCCAACAATGGTGTCACATGATTCACAGGATTCTTTTTATCCTCACAGCAGAGTTGATCTGGATTATACTTGATTATACTTGAGATCTATTAGCTGTTAATACAGGCTTACAAATCCTTGCTTGGAAAGCTGAAAAAATAAGTAAAACACATTGTAGGTGCACACCCTGGAAGGATTTCATGATTGTGTAGATGTTTGAGAAGAGATAAGAGTTTGCCATAAATTAACGTCGGACTCTCGTGAAACAGGACTCATAAGCACAGATGCTGCCGTTGTGAGTGATTAGAGCTGCACTGTGTACAGTAATTTCTTGCACACTTCACACTCAAACACACAGAAAACTAGGTGACACAGCAGACTGCAAACCAGTCATGATTTGTCGCTGACAGGGTATTGGAGGATTGTAGTTAGCTCTGATTGGTTCTGCTCTCAGTCAGTCAGGAGACACACTTGCAGAAATGTGTGTGTGTGTATTGGGGGACTTTTTTCCCTCACTTTGAAAGCTAGACAGAAATCAGTTAGTTCCTGGGTTAAACATTGATTGGTTATACATACACTTTTGATTTTGAAACAAGTGTAAGTCAGTGATACGGCATCTGTGTGCATGTGTTTGGCTGATGGTATGTCTTGGCGCTCCACACTGTCTGACGATGCAACCGCATACCAGAACCATGGGCTTTCAGATAATCAAATCATTCACAGAAGACCCCAACATGAGCCAACACCTGACACACAGACACGCACACAGTGAACAAGGGTCATGGTTAATTCGACAGTGCTGGTGACTCACTGAAGAGTGATGAAGAAAATCTCTGTTTGTGTCATTCAAACACTTTTTTTAGAGCAAAGAAGCACCAGTGGACTGCTATAAAAAAAGACTGTCACAGATTTTTGTAACTGTTTCGCATCAGTTGACTAGATTTGGTTATTGTGTATTGCTTCCAACACAAACAATCCTGATAGAGATCCCCTTAGGTTTAGTTTTTGGATTTTCCAGACACATACTAAGCAGGACATTTTACAGTTGATAAATCAACTTGTCAATGCTCTCTCGTGGACAAACTATGTTATGTGACACTATAACACCGACACTAAATTACATCAAACCTAGTTTGGTATTTCTGTACCGACATGTCTTTTTACTCATCAACCAACATATACACAAATACAATATATCTACAATAAACTTATATCGGTTGATATATTGGCTGGGCTGATTTATCATTCTAACTCTAGTGGATACATTTTCCTGATATTGGATAATTTTTGTTGTTATGTTATGATGACAAAGAAACTTTATCTGCAATGTGACAAATACAAGGATAAATAAATATTGGTCACATTTACTTTTTTGTATAACAGACTTGTACTAGTAAAGGGCTCTATGGAGTTTTCTGGTAAACAAGGTTTCTGTTTACATTCAGTGGTACTCACCAAAATGCATTGTGTGTATCCTTGAGGTCTGACAACCACATTAAATGCATTTCCTTCCCCATTAAACATTTATAATGCCAATACTTTTCAGTATTTTGAAACCTGCATTTCTTACATCCATGTCCACATTTGCTGCCGTGGTATGGTGTGAAATCTTTGCCTGGTATGTGCATCATGTCACCTGCATGCTCATGTGCATGTCTATGTGTGTCTTCATATGCATGCACAAGAAAACACATCATTACATTGCGCACTTCTAGTGGTCAAAAACTCCCCACGGTACCTAAAAGGGAACTGCTTATTATACATTTTGGTTTGTGTGTTTGTAAATGCTATTTCCATACGTGTTTGTGTGTTAGGGGCCATCTTATTATTTGAATAATGTGCCCTTTAAATAGAAGGAAAATACTGCGCCATTGACTTTAGACCAGGTTTTTGTTGCTTAATGGTTGATTAATCGCTTTCTGCTGCCTCAAGATGGCAATGAACCAACAATGCGCCTGACCACACCTCGTTTTAAGACCAACACTCCCATGGGCGCACAGATGGTGGAAGTACATTTGCTACTTACAGAATGTTGGCGCTGGTCCGTGAAAATGCCAACTGCATCATTCAGAAACTAGCAATGACAATTGTGCTGTGTGCCACTTTGCTCTGGCTATAGGGCTCTTTGTGTATATATGTATGTGCCTGGGATTGTGAATGTGTGCAAGTGTGTGTGACCAACTTTTTCCCCCATCTCATCCTGCCCTTCCTAGAAGAAATCACCCATGGCTGGTTTTAAAGAATCCTGAGAAAGACAAGTGGAGAGGACAGCAGGCAGCAGGGGAGCAGTTATTATCATCTGTTCAGCAGATGGGGTCAGCTGGATATGGAATTGCGGTGGAGTTTACTTTCTTGTCAGTTCATTGTAATCTTCCCTTAAGACGTCAAACATAATCAAAACTCAGAACTTAATGGCAACTCTGACCCCGCTGGACACTAAATGACTTGTGACCTTTTTTTGTTTTGCTTTGGCCAGTGTAAGACAAAAACAGGCTAAGAGGGATTTAAACAGGAGATTAGTGTCCAAGAGATGTGAAGAAATGATTGTACTGTATATCCAATTAAACAAGCAACTACTTATCTTCAATACAAGAAAATGTATTATATGGCCTCCTCTGTGCTAAAAATTACCTCACACAGAAACAGCAGTGGATTCCAGATTGAACTAAAACACATCACACTCTTGCTCAAAAGACTTACTTTCCCAGTAAGGGTTTGGCATCAATGAACAGAAACAAATGTTATTTGTTCAGGAATTTGAAACAATAATGATTCAAATTAATAAAAGTAAGACTTGTCTTTTATGAAAGTATTGTAAAACTGCACTTACAATAAACAAACAAACCCTTAAACTTGACTGTGTATCCCAACACAACGTTTTCACAGGTTTCTTGAATGCTATACATTCAAACAAAGCTGCTATATTGTAGTTAAAATACAAACCAGGAATCTCTCCCTCACTTTATTCTTTGATTTAAAAAAATGTTGAACTTTCCTTTAATCACAGTAGTCACCTAAACCCTTTTGGGAATGAAACCAAAGAGCAGCGGTAGTTCAGTTGCTCAGTGTAGGGGGTTTCCCTACTCTTTCATTATTTTGCAGAGTTGTTAGCCTTCAATTTCTAGCTCCCTTTCTAGAGAAAGTTTAGACTGTTGATATTTTGTTGACCCCAAGCCAGGCAGAACTTGAGAAACTCTTAGGGCGTAATGTATTTTGTTTAATTTGTAAGGAATCAATTAATCAAGGATGAAGATGGCAATGGCAAAAAAGAAGAATAATTATATATACTGTAGGCTTCAGAGCATATACTGCTATCCACTGCTCCGAATTAAGTTGGGAGTAAAGACAACAGAGGCAACAGGATGAGATAACACGGCACATAGGAGACAAATCACATGGAATCCTTTGGTATGTTTTGTCTAGGACCAACACATCCTGCTTCCAGGCAGTAAGAAGAAGTGCTTTTCCCACAATTCACACTGCTTTACACTTACTTTACACACCACTGAAGAGGCCTGGAGAATGGGAATTGTATCTACCGAATGCGTTGACTTAAAACTGTTAGACTACACACACAGTTCAGCATGAAAATGGGCAGGCACTGTTGCATTGTCACTGCATTAAAACAATCACACCACACAATAGTACAATACTACAAGGATAAATCTGGATTATGGCATATTGTTTATTGCATTTTTTTTCTTATTTTCAGAAGTTTGGACTTCAGTTTCTATCTCAGTGAGTTGTGCTGATGCATGGGGCACAGCACAACTCACACATGTGATGTGAGAAATAAAATCCATTTTATAGTAAAATCATGGCCTAAATCACATCTTACCAATGTGCCCTTATACTGTGCAACCAGTGTGAATCAACTGTGGATTAGCTGTGGCTATTTCACAATTCTTTACATAGACTGGACCATTCTGGGGCTCATAAAAATCCTGTGTAATTATTCGAGGCTGTGTGAATCACATTTCCCAGTTATGAGTTTGTGTTCACACAAATCTAATGTTAACATTAACACAGCATTGGATCTGTTCATTTGGGGAAACTCTCCGTGTGATATGAAGCTGCTAATTAATGCAGTCATGGTGAGAAATTATCAATAAAATTTTAATTTCATATGAGTGAACATGATACTCCAACGATAACTGTCCATTATGCAGTAGACATTTTCAGCACACTGTCTAGTTTAAAGCCAAGTGATTTAAAGGCTTGCACAGGGATGTCATGAAGATGATCTGCAGGCTCAGATTAGGTCTCTGTCAAAATATAATATTTGCAGAAGTGGGCATCTGTTAAATCTCCGCTTTCATTTTCTTCAGGAAATAAGTGGTTTTGCTTACAGTGAAAAATAAGTACATTATATAAAGTCATCAAACCACATCTATCAAACTGCTGTGGCAGCAATCTTTCTATTTATTCCACATCTACACCTTGTTACAACTGTATCTACACATTATAGCTACTCGTACGCACCACTTTGGGAACAGCAAAATGAAATGTAATTGTAATGCATTGTAATGATTTTTAGATTTCTCAGAACATATTCACTTTGCACTGAACAGACCTTCTGCATTTAAACTGCTCATGCAGAACCACAACACGTTACTGTAACGTGGGGACAGGGTTAGTTTACAGTCGTGCTAGGCAGACACAGTGCTGAATTATATAGCCTCATGGATAGACCCATCAACAGATCCATTGTTCTGCTGCTGCTGATACATTCAAATGTCAGACTCACTGGTACAGAGATAGAGTACATTACTAGATATACATAGTAAAGTTAGAGGTAGATATACGTAGTAATGTAGAGATAGATACTCTACAAAGGTAATGGAATTGATATATAGATAGATAGATCTCTTCCTTACCCAACACAATCACCACGGTTTTCAGCAGAGACATCATGGTATCTCGGTTGCGTCGTGGTCCAGAGCTGTGCCGTGACATCCTCATGGTCCTCTGGCGCACATAGACAAAGATGTGGGCATATAGTGTTACCATAACAACAAAAGTCACAAGGTTAAACACTGCCCAGAAGACTAGGTAGGAGTTGCTGTAAAGTGGCGCCATGTTGGAGCAAGACTTAATACTACAGATACAGTTCCAGCCCACGCTGGGGATGGCTCCCATGACTATAGACATGGTCCAGATAATGACAATCACCACCACCACACGCCGATTACTCATTCGAGTGTGTAGCTGCATGCGGAACACGGTGATGTGGCGCTCGATGGCGATGGCGAGCAGGTTGGCCACAGACGCTGTCAGGCTGGTATCAATCAAGCCCTGGCGCAGCAGCCACGTCGAAACAGTCAGGCGCCTCGTGTTTGGTCCTGTGTTGAACATCAAGTAGAAGTAGGCCAGTCCAGCAAAGAAGTCAGCAGCTGCCAGGTTGGCCATCAGGTAGTAGATGGGGAAGTGGAATCTTCTGTTGACGTAGATGGCGATCATCACCAGAAGGTTGGCGAGCATGATGAAGATGCACACAGTGATGCCCAGGCCCATCACCAGCCTGCTGACGGTGTTCCAGTCAGTAGCAAGGTACTTGCCACTGCGATTGTAGAAGAAGGCGATGGTCTCGTTGTAGTAGCACTGTTCCTCATCCATGGTGGTAGTGGTGCTTTCTGAGGGGAAAATATATTAGATGTTTAAATTTAAGCAATTTAGGTTGTTAACATTTTAAATTGACCAAGGTGATGCTCTCCAGCAGTGTTCTCCCTGTAATCTCTCGGTACATGTAGAGCTACTGGATTTTATTTCAAAAGCTAGGTTTACTTTTCACATGCACTGATCTGCAACACTGCTCATCATGTCAAAACAACTGTCAAAGATTGAAATACCACAGAAATGCTAGATTTCCTCAGTAGATCACATGTGGTTATTTTCCTCAATCAAATCAAATCAAACCAAGCCACGGCAAACGTGTGATGTCTGAAGATTACAAATGCTAGATTAAAATAAGCAATGAAAAAAACAGTACAATAATTGACCAGGTAGTTCAGTCAAAAGGTTTGGTATATATGGGAAGTCCAATCTGATTGCATTACTCTGCAAATTTAACCTAAAACCCAATGGCTCAAAATGTTCCCTAAAATAGGCCTATGTATTATCCCAAATTACTATTAATTAAGCAACAACATTTGTGCATCTGGATTGCAAGGACACCCTTTAAAGTTTAATTTATCTGTGATGACTACCTATAGGAATCAACAACCAAAACCATCAAACCATCAAATGGCCATTATCTGGGAAAAAGTGTACTATAAAATAAATTTAAAAATAGTATTTGAACTATGTATTTACATGGATTTAGGACACCACAACAAAATCTGTATATACTCAACAGAGCAGCCTCTGCATCCATCTTCTAGAGCACATGTCCTATTTTTACACTTCAGCTAAGAAAGAAGGAGTTAATCTATACTTTTTGGAACAAAAACATATATTCCTCTTTCATAACGTTCAACACAAAGCAGCGCTTTAGGAAACATGGGGACTTAAGCCGGTTCATGAAACGTGGTATAACACAAATCCCCTTTGGATTTGGACTCAACATGATTAGCAGTCATTTGTGTGCAGCTATGTGTGTATGTGTGTATGTATATCTGTGTGTGCTTTGTGAATTAACGCCAGTGTGATATGAAGCCAAAACACGTTTTTTCCATCTGGTGGAGTTTTACAATTGTTCCTGTTTAAAAAAAAACCAAATGAATCAGAGGAAACTGAAAAAACTAAGCAGCAACAGCAGCAACATGATGCTTAGAGTTCACTCACACACACATAAACAATGCTCACAGGAACATTTGTGTGTATATGTGTGTCTAATAAGCTCCAGTCCCACACAAATGCTGGCTAGTCTCTCTCATACACCCCAGACCGGAAAGTAGGACCTCAGGGCTAGAGTAGAGTGGATTGTGTTTGTGTGTGTGTGTGTACGTAAGACAGAGACAAAGAGAGAGAGGGGGTTAGCAACGGCAGAAACAAGAATTGACGAGGAATGAAAGACTGAGTATTAGAAGTTCTGCGTCAAAGGCCAGTTTTTTTGTGGAAATCTTTCTGTCTTGATTTACCTTCTAATAAGGCAGTTCATATCCTCTAAGCCCTCTCTTCTCCCTGCAGTGACACAGCAAACATCTCCACTCTGCCAAACATGAACTAGACAAGGACCCCACTCCCTTCCACACACACACACACACACACACACACACACACACACACACACACACACACACACAAATTTGCAATGTTGGAAAAACTATCAAAAACTATCACAACCTTCAGGGAGGCTCCTGGGGAATGAGGCAGTGTTGAAAGCCATGAAAGCTAAGGTTTGCCAAAAATATTTTTCCTGCACCTCAGCTGCTGAGGAGCACTAAATCGCATTGGTAACACACTGATTTGATGGCCATGATATACAAGCATGTCACATAATGTTGAGCATTAGTTTTGCCGGTAGCAATAGCCCATAATTTAGTTCCTGACTGTTCTTTCGTTCCATAGAACCGCATGCTTTAAATTCTAAATTTAGCCCATTTTTAATACTAATTAAAGCCAATAGCAATACTGCCCATGAACTATACAGCAGGCTGGCTCAAAATGTTCGCAGTGTACAACATCTTTATATTCCTTAGCCAAAACGGGTGTCTATTAGGCATGGCAGTGCACCAACCACAGTATAAAGCCCTAATCAATTAAATAAACGGTTTTCTGGACTCAGTTTATTTCTCCAATTTCCTGAGGCAGGTCGATAGGGGACTCCATTTGCAGTCCTGTTTGCTTGGAGTGGCTGTAAAATGTGATTTTATTCACTGCAATCACAATGGTACATTCTATTAGCTGTATTGAATTATTGCTAATACTGTACTGCTCCAGACAAGCCGGATGTATCTGCTCAATTTCTCCACATTGATTTCTGAGGAGACGTGTCAAAAAAATACATGCTGGCCTGTAATCATCACAACACGGCCACATTTCCATGCTTTTTGCTTCAGAATTCTGTCATTGTTTGAATCCTTTTTTTAAAACAAGACCACACAAGTTAAACCTCATTTAGAGGATGGGGTCTTAAAAAATAGTCTAGTACTCTTATGTATATTGAAACCAGGGCTTATAGTGGGCTGGCACTCACTGGTATACAGTACCTGCACTTATACATCAGGTTCTGTGGGCAATTCATGATACCATAAATAAACTGCATTACCCAGGGGGCCGCTCACCTGTTCCTGTTCTTGCCATCCTGCTAATCTCTGTTGGTGGAGACAAAGTAATTTGGGGAGAAGATTGGGCCTTTTATTTAAAAAGTTGCTTGTCAATGCCATGCGTGCGATAGCAAACTTTAGAAATGTTGAACATGTACTGCATGAATGATTATGACTGTTAACAAGTTAGCGCTTAGCATTAACATATTAGAGACTAACCACCATGTTTACCTTTTTCCTTGCAAAAGGACAACCCACAAAAATTAAACTGCTGTAGCCGATACACACATCCACTTTTTTTTTCACTGAAACAATTTCTGTTTGCTGTAATCATTCATTCCATTCATACTGGCCATTAAGATATCTGTTCCTAATGCACTTACAATGTAAGGACAAAATCCATAGTCCTCATTCTATTCAAATATGCACTGCAATGTTTATGAAACTTCAGCTGTCTGAGCTAAATCATTTGAATCTCTTCCAAATTAACAGTCTTTTTATGACAACATTTCCAGAAATACTGTCCCAAACACTATCCCAGAAAACAAAAAGAGGAAAAAATTTTGTAAAAAACTGTAAATATTATATTAACCTGACGTACTCGGAGTGTATTTTATCTAAGGTGGGTAAGAAGTAAAGTCAACTAGACACCTTAAATAACTATGAAATCGGAGTATATTTGTGAACAGAACGATGATGTGGATCTCGTAATGGCCAGTATGAACAAGAACTGTTTCAGTGTACACACACGTGCATGTGAGTATTGAAAACTATGTTTATTTATCAGACAGTACATACATTAAAAGATGGTTAGGTTTATATTTTCCCTATGCAGTCTGTGGTGATTTGTCTGGTCACTTTATAAAGGACATCATTAGACCTGCATGTCATTTTGAAGTTTTTGCTTGTATCCAGAGAAAGCAGTAACTCAGCCATTAAGAAGCACTGAAAGGAGCAGCTGAGTGACAGCAGGCAACACTAATGCAGGATAGATCCACAGTGAGGGAGCGCTCTACGACAACTACCACCGCAGATGAAAGCCCATCTATTTTGTTTGTCATCTGCGGCTTATAGCCATTAAACGTCTGGAGAGAGCAATCACCGGGGCATTAGATGCCTGAGGCGAGTCGTCAGTACTAGAAAGTGGAGGAAGTGTCAGTGGCCTCTCAGTACACATTCCCAACACTTTCATCAGACCAGAGAAAGATCCTGTCATTGTGTGTGTGTGTGTGTTTATTTGCAACAGCTAGTGGGTGGGTCTTTTAAAAGGGAAAGGTTGAGTAAGAAAGAGGACACAGAAAGAGGGGATTTCAGATTTCTGTGTTCCTGCACCTGGGTGTGTACAAATATGTGGACTATATAAGAGCAGCTAGTTGAAGCCTTTTAGTGTGTCTGAGCAAGAGAGGAAAGTTTGGGACTATGTGTGTGTGCAATGTGTTGAACCCTAGGTGCTAAAGACAGAGAACAAAATGCTTGCTGTGCTTGAATGTGTGTCGACACACTCTCTTAATTGTTGTTAGTAATGTGTAATAAAGTCTGGCTATGTGGCGAGAGAGAGAATAAAGTGCGTTTTGTGTGTGTGTGTCTGTGTGTCAGGCTGTGAAAGGACCACCCTGGAATCCATTTAAGTGAGGTCATAACTCAAGCATCAGCACTAGGGCTACATCCGTGTATTCATAACATAAGCTTAATTAACACACACACTGAATTATCCTCCTCTCTGTTTTACTGTTACAATCATCAACACTTTGTCTGTTTGGAAATGAGCAAACACATAAAGCTTTTTCTATTAATATATATACTAAATAACATTTCATGTTTTAACTTCAGAGGGATGACACACTTCCTCACAGAGTTAGTGAAAGCCAAGAACAAATGTCCCACTTGCAGCTGCTAGTGACTGCAAAGTGGGAAAAGTGTCCGTTACATCTCACAATGCATGTTGAAATGAACATATCTCATAGTGAAGAGAATCAAAAGGTTTATGGAAATGTTATGGAAACCTTCTGAAAAGATGATAAGGGATATTGTGTGCAAACTTGAAATTTTTGACTTTAGGAGAGCTGGAGTGTACATAATGGAATCGCTTCATGTCATGGCAATCCATATTTAAGATTAACATTTTTTTGTGTACACATTTCGCCTGGCAGAGGTGCTAAAGGGGCTACCTCGAAGCGACATATGTTTATGTTCAAGAGACAAAGCCCATAAGTAATGTGACATCATATATATATATATATATATATATATATAGATATATATATATAGATATAGATATAGATATAGATATAGATATAGATATATATATAAGATGGGGTATATTTTATAAATATATTGGGTTGGATGGCTGGGTAAACAAAATGTCACAGAAGACCGCTGTTCAACATGGGTGTCTTAACTATGACCTCAGTGGTTATGAAGTTTTT